TTTTTTACTCGTTTATCATTTATTCGCCATTCATTATTAAGAAACAATTTCTTTTTCTATCGAATGTCAATATGCCCTGTTAGTTTGCATCTCTCCTGAGAATCCTATCAAGTTCTGACACTAAAAACGAAAACAAAAACCAAAATAGCAAATAACATTACTTTTCCTCGTACAGAAATAGACACTACAAGCATTTAAGCTTAGGTAATTTCTGTACAGGATTACATAATCTGTAATAGTGATATATTTTGTAATAACGACTATCATGGAATGAATAAAGTTTGATTTGATTTTGATTTTGAGTTCGAAACTTGAAACCCGAAAACCTGATAAATCTGAATAATTTACTTATAACCATTGCTTACTTTCAAAACTTTTGCCTGATAGTAAACCGAGTAGTAAACTGATATGAGTATATACATCATTACAACCCTAGACTTAAAATTTTGCATCCAGTTGAAACCGTTTCCGACAAAAATTTGTTTTGTTTCCCGCAAAGTTTTTTTCCCAGGAATATACTTGTAGAACAGAGTCAAAAATAACTTTAGCAACCAGTATTCCAGGCTAAACCAAGGGTTTGTAACTCGGTTTGTAAGTAAAGCCTACATTTTCTTGGCCCCTAATAGAGGTCTGATCTATAGCATTGACCACTGGTTTATTACCCCTGGTTCAATGTAGGCACCGTATGTGCCTTCCTTCACTAGGCCTCCTCTCAAACTCAGTTTGAAGGAGTAGGTGACGTAATTCACCTTCATATAAAATCTGGCGCGCGAGTTCCGAAACAGGTCACAGAAGGTTCCCAGCGAGCACAAAAACATCTCAGAGATGTTAAAAGTACGAGATTTCGAGACATTGAACCTCCTCTGCGTTGTTCTGTTCACACATGAATAGAACTATTATAGAACAGTCAATGTCCGCCGCAGGCGGCAATTATCGAGATGTCCTTGATATGTCACAAAACTAACTACCTTCTCCCTAGTTCTTTTTAAAGCCTTTTCATGGACACAACAAAACATTTTCAACGCGTCTTGCGCACATTAAATCGCTGTAAAAAAAACATTTTCGAGGTACTTTTCTGAAGCCTTTTGTCAAAATGAACTTTTGCATTAGGATTCCATTTCCCTTGAATGAAAAAATGCATTAAAAATAGATTGAACATAAAAATATTTTCTTGATATGAAATTACCTTCTTAATCGGTTTCTGAGTAGTGCTTACTACACGCAAACATATAATTGGAAATAGGTTTCCCAAATGTTCTCCACAATGCATAATTTTGTAACTGCGGAGAAGCTGTGTATTGATAAATTCGTACTTTTATATATTGGTTATTATTGATTACACTGAGGCACCGAACAACACATCTTGCATCTGATGGTCATTATTACAAACTAAATAAGTCTTCTAACACAATAAACTTCACCAAATTCCTTTCTGTTCGTTAGCAGCGTGATGTAAGCGTGACACGCTGCAAACGCGAATGCCAATTGCGAACAAGAAGAACAAAATCGAAAACAAATCAGAATTCATCGTATTGTGACGTGAGCATGAGACGTTGTGGTGGGGCAAACAAAGAAAGGGCACAAAAGAACAAAAACAATACTTTCAATATCCTTCTAAGACCTCTTTGGGAAGTGAATATTACGCCTCAAAAAAACATCCTCATGCTTACATTTCTAAAACATCCCAAAACATCCCAGGGATACCTCTCAGTAGTCAAACAAATAAATGCCACAGAAGAACAAAAACAATACTTCAATATCCTTCAAAGACCTCTTTGGTCAGTGCATATTACGTCTCAAAATAACATCTTCATGCCAACATTTTCAAAACATCCCAGGGATGTTTGTGCTCGCTGGGTTTTGTCGGAAATATGCCAAAGTAAAGGCCTCAGACATAAAGGTCTTCAAAATATACCAAAAAACTAATCTGCGGGGCGACTCCTGTAATTTTTCACACACAAACTAATACATATAGGTATAACACAAAGACGAACATTGATTCAGAGATTTTTGACGTGGATATTTTTCCATTTTTTGTACAGAGAATAGTGCAAAGCGCTTCCCTGAGGAACAACTTTGTGACCCTTTTAGATGGGTTGAGACAAAAATAATGGACTAATCCAATATACAGTGTGTCCCAGATACAGTCGGTTGAAATGTGAATCGTTAATATTTGTATTTCTTTTTTTTTTTGCTAACGCGACAGAATTACCAATAGTATTGTTCTCCTTATCAAAATTAGACAAGTTAGAAGTATAATAATCGTGATACTTATGATGCACTGAATACAGTAATTCCGAATTACACATACTTAGTAATTTGAACGTCACCGAAATGATCGATCTACTGAATAAGTAATACCTTATTCGGAAAATGCCAGAAAGGAACCAGATAATTTAATTACATGTTACAAAAGTCAAATGAATAACGAAATAAGAGGTGGTTTAACAAAATCAGTGCAATAACCGAATATCCGACTCAATGTTTATAATTTAGGTACTTTTTTAATTACACACATCTTATACCCACTTATACCATCGCACCGAGTGCTTGGATGCGCAAAATTTTAATCGTTACGTTTCATTTAGATGCTGGGTGAGTTCAGAATACGATTTTTTTAATGATACGTTTCACCGATATAGGTACCAGTATCACAATTTCCGGTCCGAAGGTAAAATGCAGATAAAAAGTTGTAAATGATCGGAGCATCAATGCAAAACCGCTTGTGCAAATATAAAGTCGCCAAATACACTCACAAATTCCAACATGCAAGGCGGTCGAGAAAATGTATCTATATGTATATTTCGAAGATTTGTATCAATTAAAATGGTCATCCTAAATCGAGAATGGTGCAATGAGAAAAAACTTTGTGACTGTGCGCATTATGAATATGGGTCATCCCTATAATGAAATAATGATAGAACGGTGATAATATAACGAAGAAAAAACAATAAAAAACACCAAGTGGGTCGACCACAACATTATTTCAAAAGAAAAACCAAGTAGCTCAAAGTCGGTCGACTTCACTTTATATAAAACAAATTATTTAATGAAAGGTGTGTAACTAGTTTCGGCCACAGGCCATCATCAGACACACAAAAAATTGATATAGTAATATAGTACCGAAAAGGGAAGAAAACAAAAGTTATGGAGCAAAAAAAGTCGACTAATACTAACCTCAGTATCCGCTAATAGTATACAAAAAACTATCATCTTGGTATTGCCTTTAGATGGCTATAGCCCCCTAGGGGTCATTTTTTGACCTCTGTTCACATCAACTTTTTTCACTATTCATGTTCGTAGGATCTGCATTCAGAATCTATCCATGTAATTTCGGGAAAACCTGTTTTGGGCGTCGTTATGCACCAGCAATTCATAAAATAAAAAGACTTCTTTTGTATTAAATATGTTTTCACGTGTTTCGCCTGACGTGCATCTGCAATAGAAACTGCCCCCCTCCCCGGTCGATGCACGTGGCGCCGTTAACACAAGCGGCGCCGTTAAAACAAGCCACGCCGTTATAACGTGTTCGTGCTGGTGGCGAGAATTATTACAAGAAACTCTCACCTAGTTCGTGCCATTAGATGGCTATAACTACAGTTTAAACTGTGACTGTGCTATAACCCCATAAGAGGTTCTTGCTGGACCCATGTTTATATAAACTATTTTTACTATTTTTGTTCCCAGAATCTGCAGCCAGAATCTTTCTATGTAATTTCAGAACCCCCTGTCTATAGTACTATCCGCTAGTAGTATACAAAAAACTATCAACTTGTTCCTGATTTTAGATGGCTATAACCCGCTAGGGGTCATTTTTCGACCTTTGTTTACATCAATTTTTTTAACTATTCTTGTCCCTAGAATCTGCAGTCAGAATTTTTCCATGTGATTTCGGGACAACCTGTTTGGGGCGTCGTTATGCACCAGCAGTTCATAAAATGAGAAGACTACCTTTGTAGTGAATACCTTTTACCCTTTTACCTAAGTAATAGCAACGGTAGTTTTTTCTATTCTTGGTCGTAGAAGTCGCTAGTAGTGTACTCTGTTACCAAATACCATGATACTAACATGTTTTGCACGAAGTGCATCTGCATTAGAAACTGCCCACCCGATCGATGCACGTGGGCCATTAAAACAAGCGGTGCCGTTAAAACAAGCGGCGCCGGCGCAATCGACAACTTTCGCCGAACAGTCGGCGCTTGATGTCTACCTGTTGACGCAGTATACATGACAAGCCGCCGACGCTGTTCGTGCAGATGGCGCCGTTCTGTCATATACCGACGGCCACTTCATAGGCATTTTTTTCAATATCGATATAGATAGAATCGATATTTAGTTAACGCACATGAATTTAAGATCCCCAAGATGAAATTTCTCGATACTCGATAATAAACTATTTCCCAACATGTTACGGACTCTATGGGATGGTGGAGAAACAGTTTTTCATGTTCTTCGCCGTAAATACCAGATATCTACTAACCTGTTTTGCTTGACGTGCATCTGCAATAGAAACTGTCCACCCGATCGATGCACGTGGCGCCATTAAAAGAAGCGGCGTAGTTAAAATAAGCGGCGCCGTAAAAACAACCGGCGCCGTCAAAATAAGCGTCGCCGTTAAAACAAGCGGCGCCTTTAAAACACGCGGCGCCGTTAAAACAAGCGGCGCCGTTAAAAAAGTGGCTCAGCCGCTAACGACGATGTTCGCCAAACAGTCGGCGCCCGTCCACAGGTTGACGCAGATGCACGACAAGCCTTTGACGCTGTTTGTGCAGATGGCGCCGTTTCGTCATATACCGACGGCCACTTCATAGAATTTTTTTTCAATGTACCGTCATAACAGTGATCACGTAACATGGCTCAAAATCGATTTTTAGGTGAATGTATTTAAGATCCCCGAGAAAAAATGTTTCGATACTAGAAAATAAACTTGTTACAGACTTTATGGGATGGTGGAGAAACAGTTTTTCATATTCTTCGGTAAATACCACATATCTACTAACCTGTTTTGCCCGGCGTGCATCTGCAATAGAAACTGCCCACTCGGTCGATGCACGTGGCGCCGTTAAAACAAGCGGCGCCCGCGCAATCGTCGATGTTCGCCGAACAATCGGCGCCCGTCCACCCGTTGACGCAGATGCACGAGAAGCCGCCGATGCTGTTCGTGCAGGTGGCGCCGTTCTGGCACACCGACGGCCGGGATGAGCACTCGTCGACGTCGTGCTCGCAGAAGGGCCCCGTGTAGGTGGAGGGGCACTTGCAGGAGTAGGTGTTGACGGCGTCGAGGCAGGTGGCGCCGTTAAGGCACTGGTGGCCGGGGCAGTCGTCGATGTTCTCGTCGCAGTTTTGGCCTCGGAATCCTGGAAGAAAGAAGTAGTTGTCATCATATATACTGGAAGTGATTGAGCATTTTTACTTATAATATCACGAGAGCTTCAATAAGGCGAGGGAGAATTTTCTAAATATTCGTGTTCGAGAAAAAAATCCCGGGTATTAATTGAAGCTAAAGTGGTATTCGGTAAGAAAATTTCACACTGGAAAATCATATTGCAAGTATACCCACATAATATTATATGGTAAACTGCTGATAAATGATTTTTATTTAACCTATAAACGCCAAAAAATTTCCAGTGTAATTGCATGCTCCGTCCCCTAAGGAGGAGGAAAACCTTTTCGAGAAATTTGTTTAGTTGCTATGGTAACGATACGAAATACAGGCTTTAAATTGATCGAAAATGTTTGGTGTGAAATTTTCATGATAATCACAAAATTCAAATTTGGTCAGCCGACAAACAGTTTTGGACGTGTATCTTTGCCCACATTCTATAACTGGTTTGAATAAAATAAATAGCAATACATCCCAGAAAACAGGGGCGAAATATCAACAACTCAGAGATATCGAAATTGAGATGTTCTCGTGATGTTATTTTGTTACCATCTTTGCGATATCATACTGCGATACTTCCACGGGAAATGTGCTTCGGAAATATCTGCTATCATCCCTTCACTAGCAATACCAGTCAGACGAACTAGACAAGCCCAGTCAGCACATCTTTTCGTTGTCAACCTCGAAAGATGTCGAACAGCACTTTATCAAAACTCCTTCATCCATAGAACGGCTAGGCTCTGGAATTCATTGCCTGAGGAAGTATTCCCAACAACATATAATCTCAAGAAGTTCAAAAAAAAATTCCAATACCTACCTCCTATCCCTATCCTCCCTAGGAACGCACGATGTTCTTCGAACATTATAGGGATTCCCTTTCGTGCGCTCCAAGCGATAAAAAAAAATATAGGCTGATTCACAGTGGTTGGCACATAAGACGTTTCTGGAGAACGCAACTCAGGATTATTCTGAAAAGTTGGTGCCTTGAATAATTAGTTGTGTTCTATCGACCTAAAATATTCTCAGCGCTGCGACGTTGCCGCTTATATTGAAAAGTAGCAAAAACTTTGATTTCTTCAATGGGACACCCTGTATATCATTCCGTTTTCAGATTTTCCCTGAAGAGCTGATTTCATCAATCTATTATACTTGGGGTCTAGCGTGAATGATAATAAAGATATAGGGTGTGAAAAATTGAGATTTTTCAACTTCAAGAATTTTTTGTGTCGAAACTAAGTATTCATAATTGGTCAAAACGGTTTCCATGTCCTTATCTTAAATAGATACAGGTGGTCAAAAATCTCAATTCTGAACCACCCTGTATTCATTTCAATTAAATATCAATTGATAATACGTGAAAAGTTATAGTCTATAGAAAGGAAAAGCCTCGGGAAAAGCTTTGGAATTATTTGCCAAAGGAAGTATTCCCAATAACTTATAATACCCAAAAAATCAAGAATTTCCTATACCTAACTCCTCTTCCTATCCTCCTTAGGTACGCACGATGTTACCCGAACAGAATAGAAAATCCCTTTCGTGCGCTCCAAGAGATACAAAAAAATTGACATTCGACTCCTGAATCGCCAATTTCACAATATAAAATGTCTAACCCCTAGAAATACGGTCAGTTATTGTATATTACTAGAGGCTAGGCTACCTTCGAGTGATGAAACACAATTCTTAGGTCTATTGAAATAGATGAGACTTATTTTTTCATGTAAATAATTCAAAAAACAGTTCATTTTACCAGAAGCAGAGGTAATAGTATATCTCTCGTACCTACACCTACACCACCTTTATTATAATAATACTGTTGGAATGGTGGACGTTTTGAAAGTTGAATACTCAAAGATATAATGAAGTTCAGATAATTAGTCAGTATATCAGTATCGAACACATACTTTCAAACTCCAGAGCGAAGACAAAAAGCAGTTTTCTGATCATCATCAGGGCGACGCGAATTTATCTCCGCACTTATTATCACTACCTATATAAACATGCTATTATTCCCATCTAGAGTTAGAAAACCAGTTATTGGTTTATTATTTCTCTTTCCCACCGGTCGACTTTAGAGGAAATGAGTGATCTTAAATTTCTTTCCGATCTCTGATTAGATCAGCGTATTTGAATTTTATGGTTTCTGTTAAACTGTAGTTGAGAAGTGTAATCTTTTATGGGACCGCTTCTGGTTTAATAATGTTATTAAAACGTACATTCTGGCGCAAATGTCAATTACAACTTAGTTTTCAATAAATCCTGGCAAATTGAATGGTACGTTTGTATCCTATAGATAAATATTAATATATCTTTATAGCCCCAGTTATCATTATCTATACTTGCATTTTGAAGTGATTCAAATGTAGTTATGAATTTCAATTTGTAAATGAAATATGAAAATATGACACAATGCCTGAGATTCTAAAATACTATTTAACGATTCTACAATACCAAAAGGTATATTATCATACAGCATAACAGCGATCGTATAGTTTCTATGCGTGAGAAATTGGAGATAACATAAAAACGGTCTAGCCGGAAGGCAAACGAAAATGACAAGACAGCATGATAGCTATTTGAGTAATGAATAAATAATTTAATGAAATTTCGTTTCTTACTGTTTCTTGTACGTCCCCAGGGGAAAGTAACCGGATACTACTCGGTATATTTGTTTTGCCGTATGGCGATTCTAAAGAAGTTGAGATAATGAGATGGTTACTCATGATTTTGATCACGGTAACGACAAAGACGATGACTATAGAACTCATCTGGTGAGAAGACAGGTTATTATTTAAAGACATCGAAGAAATCAATCATTTGGTGCATGGTTCAATATGATTCTAAGCGTGTCTCATTATATCAGCTATCAGCATAGACTACAGAAGATATGCGATCTCCACCAAATTTGTATCGGTAAGAAATATGACCAGTTCTCCAAAGACAAACATCATTTTAGACAGACATTTTTATTGAAATGAATAGGGATCAGTTTTTCATTAAATCATATTAGGCATTTTTTCACTGGAAAACTGACCTCATATTATTGTTCTTAATGTTTTCAAACCTACATGTGTGGATTTTCATAAGATGCCTATGGAGGGTTTCAGAAAAACAGGCACATCTAAACAGCATTTTTGCGAACGTTATATTTATTTACTCAGAAACGGTGAGTTCAACATACAAAAGTATAACTTGTTTTTCCTTCCAAATCATGATTCTCCACCTACCGGAGCCATTTAACGTTCCAAAATTCGTAGTCGATTTGAAGTCACTATTTATTTGGTGGTTCGAAAGCATAAGGAACAATAATATGAGGTTAGATTTCCTGTAAGAAAATACCTAATATAATTTGATGAAAAATCGACCCCTTTTTAGTTCAATAAAAACGCATGTGCATCTCTGTAAAACTGATCATATATTGATGATATTTCATACCACACCAAATTTGGTTGGAATCGCATGACTAATAACTGAGATATAGAGGGGGGGGCGTTTAAAGTGAGACACGCTGTATATACAGAATTAGGGACAAAAAGCTGTATATACAGAATTAGGGACAAAAAACGTCCCTATGAGCATCATTTACTGTACAATTTTGACGAGGTGAAACCTGAATGAAAATAATGAACTATTAAATTTTCTACAGCTTCAGCTTTATCAAAGTTATGTTATTTTTTTATTGGAACGTATGTTGTAATGTATTGAGGAGGAAAGTGAGAACAATTCGACCTAAATTATCTATTGTGCCCCCTCATTTTGCTGTACACGAAGAGGTTGTTCTCCGTAGTTATAGCGATTTCTCTAGTCTTGTATCCCTCAGGATAATGATGTTGTTCCAGGAAGGGTATCTCCTCGTCCTCCTCTATTATTGTGTGTGCTCCTAGGTTTCTTACCCTTGGGTTCTGTAGGGTGATACATTCCATAAGTATACAGGGAGTTTCGAAAAAACCTAAGCCACTTGCTAGGGTAGGTATAGAACACTGCAAAATAAGTTGGGTTTGCTCAGTGAAAAAATGTCGTAACGGCATTCGTTTTCATGATACAAGGTGTTGAAAAATTAATTTTTTTACACATTTTTCACGATTATGTCGAAACTACTGGCAACATTGTAATGAAATTTTGTATGAATATTCCTTGAAACCTAACACATCACATGAATTTGTTTTTATATCTGACTCTTATAGAGGGCGCTAGTTACAGGGTTCGTACCGAGTAGTTTAGAACGCTACTTTTTTGAGGTTATATTTTGCAATCCAAATATGCTATCAACTTAAACATCATTCAATTTTACACCAAAAAGGTACTTCTGGTGAAACTCGATACTATGTTCCGTTTTCGGAAATATTTCGATTTGAAAATAATGGAGTAATAGCTGATGCTGGTATAAAATGAATTTCATTGAGTTCAATTACCTATTTATTCAGATTCAAAAACAATAAAATTTTCCTTATGCTGAAGTTATTGATGAAACAAAGGATCATTAGTAGAACATTAAGAGATATTTGACTTGAAACATAAAATATTGAATAAGTTTTAGAGTAAGTGTTCAAAATGTCCTACGTTTCGAAGAAAAAACGATTGTTTTTTTTTTCAAGAATGTATTATTCTTCTTAACAGTTGAGGATCAGCTGTTAGGTCATTCTAGTGATGTTCAATTATGTCTTACAACTCTGGACGTGAATTTACCTTTGTAGCATAGACTTTCTGCTCAAGATACAACAAAACTGTGTAATCCATGTTCTTAATCAAATCTGTTTCGATGTTATTCTTGTGATTCATTCTTAAATCAATAAGTTCAGCATCAGAAATGTACCTATTGTTGTTTTCGGTTTTCAATAAATAAGTGATAATTTTTCATAATACTCACTCTAATACATAGCTTTATACCAGCAACAGTTATCACTTCATCGTTTTCAAATCGAAATATTCCGAAAACGGAACACAGTATCGAGTTTTACCAGGAGTACCTTTTTGGTGTTCAAGTTCACATCAAATT